TGTCTTGGAGGCCTCTTGGGGGCCCCTTGTGCCGTCTTGGACGCATCTTGGGCCGACTTGGAGGTATCTTGGACCCTCCTGGGCCGTCGTGAAGTCCGTCTTTGACCATCTTGGGCGAACTTGGAAACCGCGTCGGGCCATCTGAGCCGTCTTGGAGGCCATCGAGGGCTATCTTGGAGCGGGAAAGGTATTGACCCGGGGATTTTTTTGTGGACTTTGAGCTCGTTTCCGCGCTTTGTGCGGCTTTGTGCGCTCTTCCGGGTGGCCGGCGGGCTGGGCCGGAGCCCCAGGGGAGAGTTCTTTTGGAAAAAAAACTGAAACCCAAACCGAAAGGGTCCAGCACGCCATGCACCCCTGTGACAAGCACAGGGGGCGGCGGATCGAATGACCTTCGGCACATCCCGCCACCGTGCCTGGGTTGCAGGTCAGAAGCCACTCGGATGGCTGATGGGATATCGTGGGAGGCGTCTCGGGGGCGTCTTGGAGGCAGTTTTTGAACCTCTCGGGGGCCTCCTCCTGGGGACCTCTTGGGGGCTTTTTGCGGCCATCTTGGGACTCCCTGGGTGCCTGTTGGGGGGCTTCTTGGGGCAACCCGGAGGCGTCTTGGGGTGGAAGACTCGAAATATCCGTTCGGGTTTCCCCTCTGGGCCCCCTCTTGAGGCTGTCCTGGGGCCCTCCTCTGCCGTCTTGGGGGCTTCTTGGGCCGTCTTGGGGCCCTCTTGGGTCGTCTTTGAGCCCTCTCGGGGGCCTCTTGGCCCGTCTTGGGGCGATCTTGAAGGCCTCGCGGGCCGTCTGTGACGTTGTGAACGCCCAAGAGGCGAATGTGCTAAAAATACATGTTTTCCACAGGGATGGAACGTTTCTTTTTATTGTTTCTGGAGGCCCTCTTGAACGTGGGCTTCTTGGGGCGTCTTGGGGGCCTCTGGGGCCGTCTGAAGGCCAGCGTGGGCGTTTTGGATCGATCTTTCAGCGACTCGTGGCCCTCGGTGGACCGTCCTGAGGGCCTCTTGGGGCCCTCTTTGCCTGTTTTGGGGCCCTCTGCACCCCTGGGTGCGTTCACCCGAATCTCGGGGGACCCCCCCATCGACCAGGATGGGCCCCCGGGGGAGGGGTCTGGCGAGGGGGAAACGTCTCACACGCCGATGAACCCCAATTGGTCGGCGGATTCTGGTGATCCGGCGATCCGATGCGGCTCGATGCTTGCGCGGCGCTGTTGTGTTTCGTGGCGCGGCCAGTCCGGTCCGATCCGACGCACGTTTTTCAGAGGCGACGATAGGGGCGAATAGCCCAGGGGAGAGCAATACATGTATTCAGGTGCGCCGATGATCTATGTCTTCGAAGAGGCTCCCGGGGGAATGCGTGTAATGCCCGCCCCTGGGCTATTCGCCCCTATCGTCGCCGCCGAGTTTTGAGCCGATCTCCCGATTCGATGCTGACTGATCCCGAAGTCGAGCAAGGAAGGTTCTTGACAGTTGCTGACCGCTTGCAGGGCCGCCCAGAGCTGGGGACGCGGAGGCTCCAGGCACCTCCGCGAGGAGGTTTTTCTGTGATCTCCGCCAGCCCAGATCTTCGACGGAATACAGTGAAGTCGGGCCTGTCCCTCTACAGGGGAATATTAAAAGATAGTCGAAAAATAGTCTGGGGGCCATTTTTTAGTACTTTTTGATCGTTTTGGGGCATTTTTGAGTATCTTTATTTTTTCGCCTAAAATCCCCCTGTAGGGGGACAGGCCCGACTTAAGTATACAGTCACGCGCAGAGGGGGGTATGGGGAAGTGGGGGAGGCTTCTCAGAAGCACCCCTGCTTCTCAGAAGGCGCGGGCCCCGTCTGCAGATGTAGGACCGGCGCCCGGTAAGGGGCAGCCTCCTTCTAAGAAGCCTTCCCCGCTTCCCCTACCCCCCTCTGCCGCTAACGCGCGCTTCCCGACCTTAGGCGTAAGTTGGGCATGTTCCTCTACAGGCGTAATATTCAAGAATAGTGAACAAATAGTCTGGTGACGCGATTTCGCATGCTCTTTCGACTTGTTTTGGCAATTGTTTTCTACTATCTTTTTTTTCGGTTCAAAATCCGCCGGTAGGAGGACATGCCCGACCTAACCATACGCTTCCAGAGACTTCCGCAGGTTTCCTGAGACCCCCTCGGAGCCCCCGGGGGCGCTTGCCCCCGCCTGCTCTGGGTCAGCGGAGGTCTTGTCGGCTCGGCCCAGCCCTGGCGTGTCTTGTTTTGTTTTGGTCTGTCTTGTTTTTGTGAAGCGCTGGGTTTTGAATACGTTCGACCATGGGCCCATCCGTAAAACCCAGCCGTCTGGCTTCGCCAAGAAGACTGCCGAGATCGCCGAAGACCGCCAGACATTGCCGAAGGCAGCTGCCGAAGACCGCAGAAGACGACCGCAGGCTGGTGGGCGATGGCCGCAGAGGGGTCCATGGTCGAGCATCATCGTCATGGCGGAGCCTTCCCCTTCGGTGCTGGGGGGTGGGGATGGCCCCTCTCGTCCCGAGAACACTTGCGGGCTCCAGCGACTCGAGCCAGCAGTCTTGCGCCGCGCGGTGCCACCTGTGTGGTGCAGCCTCTGCGGTGCAAGCTGCGTAGGGCGCGGTCTCCGCTGGCGCCCACCGTGCTCGCGAGGCGGCAGCGGGCGAGGCCCTGGCAGACCCGCCCCGCGCAAGGGGGGGCGGGAAGCCCGTGGGGCGGCCACGGGCGGCAACGCGCGGGCACCGCGCGAAGCCCTGGCAGGCCCCGCTCGGCGCACGGGGTGCCCACCCGCGTCGGCCACCGGCGGGGCACCAGGCGAGCCGCATGTGGGGATCGGCTCCACTGCTCAGGCAGCACGTGCGTCGGCGTAGGCCCCAAGCAGTGCGGCATGGCATGCTGGATGCGCAAGAGGTGTGCGTGGTGCATTCGCTGTGGTTGGATCTGCGTGATGCAATCTAAGTGGCGCAGGCTGTGTGGTTGAGGCTAGGTGGTGTGATCCGTGCGGTGCAAAGTGGTGCAATCGAAGTGGCGCAGGCTGTGTGCTGCAGTCTGTGTGGTGCAAGCTGTGTGGTGCAGGCCATGTGGTGGAAACTCTGTGGTGCAAGCCATGGGGGGTCAGCTGTGCGGTGCAAACATGTGGTGCAGGCTTTGTGGAGTGAGCCGTGCGGTGCAGCCTGCGCGGTGCAGCTTTTTTGGGGCGCAAGCCACGTGTGGTGCAAGCTGCGCCGTGCGATCTGTCGCGGACCCCACGCGGGGGCCCACGGGTGGCCACCGGGTGCACCTTGGCGGACCCGCCCCGGCGCACGGGCCGCCCACGCGGCGCCCACGACCGGCCACCCACTGGGCGCCAGGCGAACTCTCGGCGGCCCCGTCCAAGGCCTCGGGCAGCCCAGGCACCACCCCCCTGAGTGCAGACTCTGTGCGGGGCGCCTGTGTGGGATCCCTTGGAGTGCAAACGCTGCTCGGGGGCAGAAGAACAGAGCCTTCCACGTGTTGTGCGGAGGTCAGCGCATATTTCCTGGATCGGCGCTGCATCACTCTCCCTGGCGCGCTCCGCGCGCCAGTGGCGGCGCCAGAGGCGCCGCCACGCCGACCCAAGATATCCGCACGGACCTCCGAACCTTTATGTTTACGTATTCAGTTTTAGGCTGCTGCGTTCTTGCATTGTCGATGTTGTTGTTGCTGTTGCTGCTGGTATTGTTGTTGTTGATGCTGTTGCTGCGATTGTTGTGGTTGTAGTAGTTGTCATTGTTTTTGTTTTTGTTGTTGCTATTGTTGCTGTTGTTGTTGTTGTTGTTGTTGTTGTTGTTGTTGTTGTTGTTGTTGTTGTTGTGGTTGTTGTGGTTGTTGTGGTTGTTGTGGTTGTTGTGGTTGTTGTGGTTGTTGTTGTTGTTGTTGTTGTTGTTGTTGTTGTTGTTGTTGTTGTTGTTGTTGTGTTGTAGATCCCTCCTCCTGTGCCCGTTCTTTTTCCGATCAAAGCGCTCCTCCCTGGGCTCGCACCTGTTTTTTTTTACAAGGGAGAGTCTTGGCCCTCAAATTGAGCCCCTGGCCGCCGGTTTACAACAGTAACGGCTGTTTATGCCCAATTCGCGCTCTCTCTCGGGACATCCTCATATTTTATGCGGGAATCGCGCTCTCGCGTGGTATTTCCTCGCAATTTGTTGTGGCGTCGTGCCCCCTAGACTCAGGAATCACGCTCTCGCTTTGGACTTCCTCACACTTGCGCTATCGCTCGAAACTTCCTTGCGATTCATGTTGGATTGACGCTTTAGCGACCCGACCGCTCGACCTGGCCGTCTGGGCCCGCCCGCACGACCCGCCCGTTAGGGTTCGCCCGCCCGACCCGCCCGTCTGGTTCTGCCGCTTGTGCTCCCGCTCCTAACCTCCTGCAAATCTCTCTCGTGCTCCATCCTTCTCCCTCACCCTGGTCCCTTCCCACCTCCCTTCCCCTGCTTTTGGGGCTGCGCCAACTACACGCGGCAGGCAGGGAAGATACCCGTAAGGGCTCCGCCCCCTGCCGCCAGCCCCCTCTCTATCATAATGGGGTATACCAGAACCGCGTCGGTGCGTTTCGGCGCTGCCTTGGCGCATCTGGGAAATCATGCGGGGGCGGATAGGAACCATCAGCGCATATTGAAACGTTGGCGTTATCGAAGGCGCCTACGGCGAATCACCGCCGCCCCCTGCCTTTTTGGAAGCGCCTATGTTGTCGAACGTTGAGGCCAGACCTGCCAAGCTATCGGACCATGTGTTCCCCGAATCGGTTTGGAAAGCCTTCGGGGAACACGTGGGCATCTTGAAGGTCATCTTGGCCGCCGGGAGGCCATTTTGACCCTTTCGGGCCTTCTTGGAGGACGTCTTGGAGGGCTCTTGGGCCGTCTTGGAGGCCATCTTGAGCGTCTTGGAGGCCTCTTGGGGCCGTCTTGGGGGCCTCTTGGGCGTATTGTACGAGGGATTACGGCCTCGGGGGCGCGAATCTCATGTACTTTTACGTGTCCCACGCCCCCCCAGAAATTCAGGCAACGCGATCCGGGCGTGCTAAATTGTATCCTTTTGGGCTCCCCCCCCTCGCGCGGATTTTAACAATTAGTAATAGGAAACAGAAGTCAGGACTGTAACATTGGAGACTTGAAACTGCAATTGGTGCAGGGAGCAGCAGCTTCGGCCTACAGCCTGGTGGCCCCAAAAGGGGGCCGGCGGATACCCCCAAGGGGTGTGCGATCGAAGACGAAGAGGGCGGGTATCGAGGGTTTGGGATGAATGGCACGCAGGCAGATAAGAGCGAACAGTCTTAGAATGATTGTTGTTGTCGTTGTTGTTGTCGTCGTGCTCATCCGCGACCCGCCCTCGACCCACTCCGCGACCCACCCCGCGACCCACCCCGCGACCAACCCCGCGACGGCAACCCACCCGCGACCCACCCACCTTGCTTTGACGAAATTCTGCACCTGCGGCGGGCTCGCTGTGCAATGTGTTGAAACATCCAGGGCTTTGCAGACTGCCGACGATCCCGCCGGCCCCTCACTCTTATCCGCAACTGCGGGGTGCTACGTGTGCAGTTTTTGTCGGCCTCCTACTCTAGGCCTCTCTCTCCCCCCTCTCGGTGCGGGCGAATTGGAAAAGGGGGGGGGGCTGCGACGTCTGCTGCATGCCGCTGGGTTTCGGCTCCGCCGCTGAGCACATTCTTGGACACGAGGCCAGGTCCGTCGCCGGCAGGCGCCGCGAAGACTAGCTGCATATAATAGCTGATTCGCTGAACTCACCTTTGCTATGCCCCCCTTTCGTCTGCCCGGTCCTCTCCACGCTCCGCCCCTCCCGTGGCTAGACGACCGTCAAGTTCCTGAAGATGAACTGCGTCGCGTTCGGGGATCACTGCAAGCAGGATGGCGCCGAACGCTTTGACCCGCCCCCCCACCACCGCTGCCAGAGGAATGAGTGCGGCAGGAATGGGAGCAGGGACAGAGGAGGAGCGGACGGGAGGAGGGGTAGGAGCCCGTCAGCCAAGGTTTTCGGGTGTGCAACCAGAGATTCCCGAACGTTTTATTCGGATGTTTTCGGAGGTTTCCCCAAAAAGGTTCCGACGAGGGGGAGGAGGGGCATGGAGAGAAAGGGAGAGAGAGAGAGAGAGAGAGATGAGGGGTAGGTAGGGGGGGAGGGAGGGAGGGAGGGAGGGAGAAGAGGAGGATTATTAGGAAGAGGAGGAGGAGGAGGAGGCGAAGGGCAGGAGCAGGAGAAGGATGATGAGGAGGAGGAACACGATGATGATGATGATGATGATGATGATGATGATGATGATGATGATGATGATGATGATGATGATGATGATGATGATGATGATGATGATGATGATGATGATGATGATGATGATGATGATGATGATGATGATGGTGATGGTGATGGTGATGGTGATGGTGATGGTGATGGTGATGGTGATGGTGATGGTGATGGTGATGGTTGATGATGATGCTGGTGATGCTGGTGGTGATGATGTGATGACGATACTGTGATGATGATGATGATGATGATGATGATGATTGATGTTGGTGGTGATGATGATGCTGATGATTGATGATGATGATGCTGATGATGATGATGATGAGATGGTGTCGTGTGGTGATGGTGATGGTGATGATGATGATGTTGATGATGATGTGATGATGATGATGATGATGATGATGATGATGCTGATGATGAAGATGATGATTGATGATGATTGGTGATGGTGATGGTGTATGGATGGTTTCCTAGCGGTGTTGATGATGATGATGATGATGCTGTGATGATGATGTGATGATGATGATGATGATGTGTGAGATGATGATGGATGATGATGCTGATGATGATGCTGATGATGATAGATGATGATGCTGATGATGATGATGATGTGATGATGATGATGCTGTGCTGATGATGATGATGATGATGATGATGATGATGATGATGAGGATGATGATGATGATGATGATGATGATGGTGATGGTGAGATGTGATGAGGTGATGATGATGATGATGCTGATGATGATGGATGGACGATACTGATGATGATGATGATGATGATGATGATGATGATGATGATGATGGATGATGATGATGATGTGATGTGGTGGTGGTGGTGTGTTGTATGATGATGGTGGTGGTGATGGTGATGGCGATGGTGATGATGAGCTGATGCTGATACTGATGCATTGCTGCTGCTCGCTGTGCTGCTGACTGCTAATGATGATGATGATGATTGATGGTTGATGATGATGATGATGATGATTGACGCTGATGATGAAGATTGAAGTGATGATAAGATGGAGGATGCTGGGAGGAGGATGAAGAGGAGAGGAGGAGCGAGGAGGAGAGGAGTGAGGAGGAGGAGGAGGAGGAGGAGGAGGAGGTGGAGGAGGAGGAGGAGGAGGAGGAGAGGGTGGAAGGGGGCGCGGAAAGGGGATGAGGAGGAAAGAGGAGGTGGGATGAAAGACGGCCCTTGGATCACAGGGCGATCTGGCAGGAGGTCCAGGGACGGGGTCCCCAGCTGGCCCTGTGGCCCGAAGGCCGCCCCTGGAGAGGTGTCGGGCCTGCAGGGGAAAAAAACACCCAGTCCGCCCAGGCGGAGATGCCCTCGTGGGGGCCGCCCTTCCCGCCGCCTCCGCCCGCGCGGGCGGTCCTCGAGGCATCCCCCAGGGCCGTCGCGTGGGGGCCCGCGCGGGGTTGGCGCTGCGCAGGGGGTGGCCTTAAGTCGAGCCTGTCCCTCTACAGGAGGAATGTTCAAGCATAGTCTAAAAATAGTCAGGGGATGTTTTTTTCCCAACCATCTTCGACGTTTCTGTTTCGTGCGTATTTGTGTCATTTTTCGTCCAAGATCTCCCTGTGGGAGGGCACGCCCGACCCAAGGCCAGGGCTCGAGCTAAATGGTGTTTTGGCAATTTCGTGGACCGTCTTCGTTTTGACTTCGTTTTGCAGCAGGTGTGGAACGAAGACAGAACTGGGGATGACGAAACCAAAACGAAGACGGAAAGCACTGTTTAACTCGAGCCCTGCCCAAGGCATCCCCCAGGGCCGCCTCGCGGGGGCCCGCGCGGGGTCGGCGCTGCGCAGGGGGCCGCCTTTGCTCCGCGCTCCCCGCGGGAGGCGCGGCGAGGCACCCCGTCGAGCGCGCGGGCCCGGGCCTCGCGTGCGGGTGGGCCCTCGGCCTCTCTGCGCAGGTCCGCACGCCTCCGTCCTCCACCCCCCTTTCTTTAAGGCGGGCCTGTCCCCCTACAAGGGGATTTTCCACGAAAACTTAGACGTATCCCCCAAATAGCCAAACAATCATCTAAACATAGCCTGGGGATTATGTTTTGAGTATTTTTTGGCCTATTTGGGGTATGTTTGGGGTATTTCTTATTCTTCGTCGGAAATCCCCCAATAGGGGGACACGCCCGACATAACCCTTTCTGCGACGAGAATCCACACGGCGAGGAATCCTTGGTCAAGTGCTGGCAGGGCAACATATCCTGGAGACCTCCCTTCTAAGGCGCATCATCATCATCATCATCATCATCATCATCATCATCATCATCATCATCATCATCAGCATCATCATCAGCATCATCATCAGCATCATCACCACCATGGCCGTCACCATTTATTATCACATCGTCATCATCGTCACCATCATCATCATCATCATTATTCTTCTGCTTCCTCTTCCTACGGCTATTCCTATTACATTAGTAATCGCATTGCTATTATTGTCGTAATCGTTACCTTTGTTCTTATGGCTATCATTATTTTTCTTATTACTCTTGTGCGATGACAGTATTACTGCCATCATTATTATGATCAGCCTTATGATAATTATCGTCAGCATTATTATGATTCCCAGTATTGATATCATTAGTAGTATTGCTAGTATTGTTGCTGTTATATTTGTTATGATTGCTGTTAGGTTTAGTATGACTACTATTCTTCTTCGTCTTCTCCCTTCTTCTGTTCTTTTTCTTACCATAATTCTTTGTGATTGTTATTACTACCACTATTAATATTTTGTATTATTTTGCTGATTGTTATTGTTATTGCTATTTCTTTTCGCCCCCTTCCTGGCATCGCACTTCTCCATCGTGCTCGTCGTGCCACCGTTGGTGCATACTGCTGCCGCGCGCATGCAGCGATTGGCAGGTCGCGCACAAATGGTCACTCTTGCCCTTGGCCACCCGCGTGTCACCGAATCGGCTACACGCCCCCAGGTGCTTCAAGACTCCTCTCCAATCGACTTTCGGGGATCTAGATAGACAAGATCGAGGTGAGTCGCGGCACATCCAGATACGTCGAGGTGCATATGGATGAGTCGAGATGCGCCGAGGAAATCCCAGGTGAACCTGGCGCAAATCGTGGCAGCTCCAGCTCGAGTCGAAGGACAGCTGAAGTCGCCGAGCCCTCCGCGAGCATGCAGGACCGGCCTTGCGCTGCGAGGAGGCACACCCGGAGGCCTCGCACGGCGGCGCGCCGCGGTGGCACTGGTCCACGCGTCCGCTCTCCGTAGGGTGGGGGGTCGACGCGCCTGCGGCGCTGCTCCGGACGCAAGTCCGACGCGACTCCGGCGCGGCTCCGACGTGCAGCCGACGTGCGGCTGCTGCCAGAAGTGCCCCTGGCCCAGGGTGATCCCAGCTTTTCGCTCCCTCTTGGATAGGGGGCCGCATGCGAACCCTACCCCTACCCCCCACGACTTCTGAGGGGGAGGGTGGGGTTCACTTCGCTGGGGAGCTCCCCAGCGAAGTGACCCCCCCCCCTCCGCAGAAATCATGGGGGGCAGGGGTAGGGTTCGCATGCGGCCACCTATTGGAGCCCCTAAGGCTGCTCTGGGCCTCGTGAGAAATCCCGGGGGCACCCGGGGCCAGGGGGCACTTCCGGCAGCATTCGAGAGGTGTTTCCGACGCGAGTCCGACGGAAGTCCGACGTGACTCGGGTCTGACGCTGCCGCGCGAGGCCTCCAGGATTTTCCACCATGATTGCTTTTTCCGGTTGTCACACAGTATCTTTTCTGACCGGTGGGCTGTCATGCAGATGTAACCTCACTTTTTACGCCCACTGCCTGTCATCAGTCACGCTGAGGTGGGACACCGCACGCTTTGTTCTTGTTGCCACTGGCTGTCATACCCGGAAGCGTATGCGCATGTTTTGAATGAGAAAAAAATGGTCGTTGAAACCTGCGATGCTCCATCTGACCTCCGGTGCGCGGTCGTCGGGCTGTTTCCGGGTCCTGCCGGTAAGTCGAGCCTGCCCCTCTGCAGGAGGAATGTCCAACCATAGTAGAAACATAGTCCGGGGACGAATCTCCGAGTATACTGGTTGGGCCATTCTTTGAATATTTTTTTGACTGATTTTCATACCCTTCGTTCAAAATCAGCCTGCAGGGGGACGTGCCCGACCTAAGTCTGACCCCTGGTGCGCGGTCCTCGGGCTACTTCCGGGTCCTGCCGCGCCATGGCGCGCGGGCCGCTGCTGACCACCCCCGCGTGCAGCGCTCGGCAGGCCCCGTGCAACCACAGGCTGGCAGCCCTCTTGGCCTAGGCGTGCCCGGTCTCGCCAGCTCGTCGCACTCGCTCACGTTCGTGGCCTATCATTCGGAGGGGGGGATTTAGGGAAACGAGCAATGGCTTAAACGTAAAGGCTCGGAGGTCCGGTCCGCGCGAACCTCCGAGTTTTTATGTTTCTGTCATTCTTCGTTCCCCTATTTTACATGACCGCCGCCTGGAGGATCTTCTCGGCAGGCAGGGGATATAGATATATTCGGGCCCCCCGGGGCCAGCATACATCCGTATCCACCGCCCGCTGGGGCACCACGACGTCGGTTCCCAGGCGGTGTACATGGATAAACCCCCACCTCGCACCATATGTCCGCCGCTCGTTCCCTCAGCTTCCCTCCCTCTCCGGGCGCCGCGCTGAACACCTCGTCGCCCTGTGTGCCTTCCAGGCACTGCTCGCTGCGGGGGTTCGTCGCTCCCCCCTCGCCCGCGAGGGCTGGGCCGCGCCGCGCTGAACACCTCGCCCGGTGCCCGGCTGGTGGGCGCCCGCGGGCGCCTCGTGGGCGCCTCGTGCCGCGCGGGCCCGCCGCCGCTCTTCGCCTGGCGGCCCCGTGGGCGCCGCGCGTGCGCCGCCCGTTGGCTCTTGGCCGGCCGGGGTCCGCGCCCGGCGCGCGCGCCTCGTGGGCGCCGCGTGGGCGCTGGGTGGGCGTGCCGCGGCTCGGCCTGGAACGCCCGCCCGTGGGCGCCTCGTGGGCGCCTCGTGGGCGCCTCGTGGGCGCCTCGTGCGCTGGGCGTCCACACAGATTGCTCTGCACAGCTTTTACCACAGAGCTCGCACCATGCAGCGTGCCCCACGTGGCTTGCGTCGCACAGTTCGCACCATGCGGCTTTTTGCACCACGCATCTCACGCCGCAGATCTTGCAGCGCGTCGCTTGCACCGTAGCTTGCACCACATAGGTTGCGCTGGGTAGTTTGAGTCGCACAGCTTGCACCACACAGCTTGCACCGCATAGCTTGCAGGAGGAGGAAGAGGAGAAGCTGGACGAAAGGAGCAGTAGGAGGAGCAGCAGCCGCGGGAACTGAGCTCTCCAGGCAGAGATAGCGGTGTTCCCCACGATCCGCCTCTACAAGAGGGACGGCACGTTCGAGTCGTTCAAAGAGAAGAGGAGGGGAGTGCTGCAACTCGCGCAGTCACGGCCAGCGCACTTGGGAGGAGGAGGAGGAGGAGGAGGAGGAGGAGGAGGAGGAGGAGGAGGAGGAGGAGGAGGAGAAGGAGGAGGAGGAGGAGGAGGAGGAGGAGGAGCCTCTTCCAGCCGCCTCCTCCCTCCCCTCGGCGCTTCCTCGCTTCTCCTGCCTGCTCCTCTCGCACTCTCCCCCCCGCCACCCCTTGCCCCAATGGGCGCCCGCCTCGCGTGGGCTCCGAGAGAGTCCCCCGACTGCCCAGAGGAGTGCCCCGAGGTGGCTGCCCAGGGCGCGAACCGGGCCACGCGCGCCTTGGGGAGAGCCCCTCACCCCCCAAGAAGGCCCCAGGGCCCCGAGACAAGGCGCCCTGGAGGCTCTCCAAGAGGCCCCGCCGAGGCCTCCCCGGCGGCTTCCCAGGGAGCCCCCGGACGCCCTCCGCCGCGAATGACCGAAGGCCACGCGCGAGGGCTGCGGAGAAGTCCCGCCGCCCTCCGAGAAGGCCTTCTCCTTCTCACTTCCCCCCTCCCCCCCCGCGCTCGTCGCCGATTTGGAGCCCGCGTCCTCCCGCCTCCGACTTCGAAGAGTGCGTCCTGGAACCTGCCGGCTGCCGTCTTGTTCCTCGTCGGACCCGCCTGGTGGTGGACCAACGGCCTCGGTGACCGATCGGGGGAGGAGCTTCCAGAGTGTCCCCTGGGGCCCGACGAGGCTTCCAAGAGGTCCCACACCTGTGTACGTTAGCGGAAGGCCCCCAACGTTTCCTGACGGACCTCCCAGGCGGGGATTTATCCATCTCCACCGCCTGGGGGATCGATCCTCGCGGACCTCCACAGGCGGTGGATGTGGACATATTCGGGTTCTCGGGGGCCAAACTATATCCCTATCCACCGCCCGCTGGGGCACCAGGACGTCGGTTCCCAGGCGGTGGATATGGCTAAATTCCCGCCTCGCAGGACCGTGCTCCGGAGACTGCGTCCATCTGCCGCGGCCGCCCTTTCCGTGCTTGCGTCCCCTGCCCACGCCGTTTCCTGACGGCGCGTGTTCCAGAGCAGGCGTCCACGAACGCGGTGCCTTGCCCCCTTCCGCTGTGGTGGCCTTCCTGCGTGTTCAGAGCTCTCGCCTCTTCGCTTCCAGTGGGCGCCCAAGGAGGGGGAGGAGGGAGAGAAGGAGGAGGTAACGGACGAGGAGGAATAGGAAAAAGAGAAGGAGGAGGAGGAGGAGGAGGACCAGGAGGAGGAGGACCAGGAGGAGGAGGAGGAGGAGGAGGAGGAGGAGGAGGAGGAGGAGGAGGAGGAGGAGGAGGAGGACCAGGAGGAGGAGGAGGAGGAGGAGGAGGACGTCAAGTACAGGATGGGCGTCGTCATCGTCAACGTCCTACGTTCGACGCTGTCATTATCCGAGTTCGCGTCTGCAGTCGGGGAAGTCTGCACTAGAACCTAGGTGTGCGGGAAACGCGCGCGTGGTTCCAGGACATGTAGAAATATGTACATACCTCCCCTTCTCCCTTATCCATGCCTCCGTCTCTCTCTCTCTCTCGTTCTCCCTCTTTGTTTATGTTTCCCTCGCCACAAGATACTATGTGTGTGTGTGTGTTGCCTGCTTCGATTTTGATTTTCACGTACATGTGCATCGATGCATATGTACAGTCACCCTGAGGATATTTACAGTGGCAAGGTCTCATTCTCTCTCTCCCTCTCTCTCTCGTTCTTTCGTTTCTATATCTATCTCCGTCTCTCTTTCGCCTTCTTGTTCCAGGGATTTGCTCCTCCCCCGATGTCTGGATACCCCTCTATCTCTCCCTCTCTCCCTCTTCTCCTCGTTCTCCCTCTCTCTCTCTCCACACTGCTACCCAGACATAGAGCGCAATGAGTATCTATACGCACAACAGCACACTTCGCGTGAGCGGCCCAGCGAGACACGAGTTCAGCGGTGAAGATGCGTCGGCCACTGCAGCTGGCGGCGATCACGTCACTGAGAGTCGAGCACACCCTGGCCGCAAGGGGATGGGCGCGAACTGAATCCAGCGCACCTCCTCCTCCTCCTCCTCCTTCTCCTCCTCCTCCCCCTCCTCCTCCTCCTCCTCCCCCTCCTCCTCCTCCTCCTCCTCCTCCTCCTCCTCCTCCTCCTCCTCCTCCTCCTCCTAGGCGTTGCGGGAGCGAGCGAGGCGGAGCGGCCGGAGCAGGAGTCACACTCAGGGCCTCAGGGGGGCGGAGGAGCGCCGGCGGAGGCCTCGGGGTGCGGCGCGGGCGCAGCCGGGCAGCGGCGTCAGACCCAGCGCTCGAAGGCATGATGGTGCTAGGCGGAGGACTCGCCTGTGCCTTGCAGCGGCGGTCCTCTTCCTCTCCCTCTCCCTCCCTCGCTCTCTCTCCCTCGCCCTCTCACTCTCTCTCTTCCCTCCCTCTTCCTCTCCCTCTCTCTCCCTCTCTCTCTCCCTCGCCCTCGTCTCTCCTCGTCTCCTCGTCTCTCTCGTCTCTCTTTTTCTTTCTCCCTCTCTCCCTTTCTTCTCGTCCTGTGGACGGGCTCGTACGCGAATCCATCATGTACGTGTATGTCGAGAGAGGGAGATGCACACACAAACACTTATCTATACATCAATATCAGCACACGCAGGTATACATATATATATGTATATATATATAGATATATATTTATGTATGTATAGACAGAGAGAGAGAGAGAAAGAGAGAGAGAGAGAGACCGAGAGACAAACACAGATGGGAGGAGGAGGAAGGGATGAGGAGGGTAGGGGAGGGGCGGACGGGAGGATGAGGATGAGGAGGAGGAGGAGGAGGGGGAGGTGGGAAAAAGGAGCATCACGATTAAGATGCTCACCCCCAGGGTGGCACACGAGACCTCAGCTGGATTTCAAATGGAAGTGTATGCTTCAGACAGGGCGTTGGCAATGGGCAGATAGGCATACGACACGTAGTTCAGTTTGTCAACCTCTGGTTCACGCAGTCATCTATGGCGGGGAGTGAAGGACGATCGACAACATCAAGCAGTTCTTGTTCAACAAGATTGCAAACAGTCACTTGATTATCGCGTCGCACCACTCCATGTTTAGCGAGGGCTGCCAGGCCCGAGAGGGATTGTGGCGAGCATGAGGAGGATGAGGAGGAGAGGGTGTTGAGGGCTTCTTGGGAGTTTTAGTGGGTTCCATGGTGGGGGTGGGAGTTCAGGGGATTCGGAAGGCTTCGAGGGGAGTCTGAGCCTTCTGCTCCTCCTTCTTTCCTCTTCCACCCCTATTCCTTCCTTGTATTCTTATTTTGTGTTGTTGTTCTTCTTCTTCTTCATCCACCCCTCGCCCTTACACATAACTCCTACCTGTGGCCCCCCCCCCCCCCAGAGGTGTCGGTGGGGCGGGCCAGGCGTTTCGCCTGAGACTTCGTCACCATTTATGATGCTGGAGTTTGTCTTTGCAGCAATTTCAAGGAAGGAGTGCGGTACGTTTTCAACATGTGGCTCTCGCTTTTTTAGCGCCGCGCGAATTCGTCTGAGACATTTGCAACAATTTCAAGTATGGAGGGTAGTTCGTTTCCAAGACGTGACTATCGAGTTGGGATCGCGCACATTCGTCTCAAGCGCTTACAGCATTGTCAAGGAACGAGGGCGGTCCGATTCAACATGTGGCTCTCGCCTTAGGGGCTCGCGCATTCGTTGTAAAGTTCGCAACAGTTTCAAGGGTTCGTATGGTTGAACTTCCAGGAAGAGCGTGATGACACGATTTAGGATATCAGGACGCAACAGTCACATTGATTCGCAGTGCTGACGTCCTCGGACTGGAGTTGCGGCGCGGTTTAGGATTGCCAGGACGCAGCGGTCACGTTGATTCGCGGCGTTGAAGTCCCAGGAATAGTGTTTAGGCACGGCTAGGGATTCTCAGACGACTGTCTTCCAATGGGACACTTCCAGCAAGGAACATCTATTCTTGTAGGGACCCGTGGAGAGGGAACTTGGAGGGAGGGTAAATTGCAACATCGTTGTTGCGTCTTGGGATTGCACTGGTCCTCCTCCTCCGCTTCCTTCACCTCATCATCATCATCATCATCATCATCATCATCATCATCATCATCATCATCATCATCATCATCATCATCATCATCATCATCGTCATCGTCATCATCATCATCTTCATCTTCATCTTCATCTTCATCTTCATCTTCATCTTCACCATCATCTTCATATTCACCATCATCATCATCATCATCATCATCATCATCTTCATCACCATCGTTATCTTCATCTTCATCTTCATCTTCATCTTCATCTTCATCTTCATCTTCATCTTCATCTTCATCTTCATCTTTATCATCATCTGCATCTTCAGCTTCATCTTCATCTTCATCTTCATCTTCATTCCCATCTCCATCTTCATCTTCATCTTCATCTTCACCACCATCATCATCAGCAGCATCATCATCATCATCAGCATCATCATCATCATCATCCTCATTCTCATCCGTATCCTCATCCTCATCCTCATCCTCATCCTCATCCTCCTCATCATCATCATCATCATCAGCAGCAGCAGCAGCAGCATCATCCCTCTCTTCTTCCTCCTTCTCTCAGTTCTTTCCCTCTCACCGCTTGTTCTCCCCACCTCTGCCCCCCGCAGGAGGGTGGGAGGAGGAGGAGGAGGAGGAGGAGGAGGAGGAGGAGGAGGAGGAGGAGGAGGAGGAGGAGGAGGAGGAGAGAACTCCCCGAACCACTGACGTCAAGAGTGTTGGTGGGATTCCTCACGTCCCCGCGCAGGTCGAGGGGGTCATCAGGGTCCCTCGTGTGCCCGGCCACTTCCACCTGATGGCGGAGCCCTACGGCGACGTGAACCTGAACCCCGCCCTGACGAACGTCTCCCACCAGGCCCCCTCGCTCTTGGGAGCCTCTCTGCCTCCAGCATTGTTTTGAACCCGGGCATTCTTCTTCAGTCCCAGCCTCCACTCGGGGGCCCCCAAACGGGTTGGTGACAACACCGAGTGGTGCGTCGGTGGGAATTTGGGGTCACTGCACGGTTTTGGGGCTTGGGTCGTTATCCGAGGACGTCTCGGACGACCGGGGCCTCCAGGGTCCCCAAAACCGTGTGGTGACGGACCCTGCGGCGAGGTCTTTGGAGATTTCGAGGTCACCGCCAGGTCTGTCACCACACGGTTTTGGGACCCCCCAATCCACGGGTGGGAGAATGTTAGTCCCTTGCTGGGAGGCTGAGTACACCTCAGGCGATGCTTAAGAAAACTTGTGTTTTCGGCCAGAGTCTCGATGATTCTTAATGTTTCCATGTAGATCCTAAGATTTTCATAGAAATTGTGGGTTTTAAGTCAATTTCTGAGACCTATTAATTTCTTACCCATGATTTCTTACTCCAGAACTCGTAATACAAGGGAGGGGGTCTGGACCCTCGAAGACAAGCCATTTCAGACCTCCCCCGTGGGAGAACCCCCCAAAACATCGTCCCCAGACCCCCCCAGGCCCTCCAAGATGGCCTGGAAAAGAGACCCCCCCCCGAAATGAGACCCCCCTCCCTTTATTACGAAATCTGCAGTAAGCATCTCGCAGGGTGTAGTGCCATCGGGGGGCAGCGTCGGCGAGCGCGACTGTGAGGAGGTGCGGTGCGGCTGGCGGTGATGACGGGCAGCATCGGCAAGCAGGGTGCGTTTGTCGACGGCAGCGACGACGGTCACCACCCACCAAAACACCCCAACCCAACCCGAAGGTCTCAAATTGATTGGATGGCGCGGATGCCTCACAAACGGCCCCCATCTGATTATCGGCGCCCCTAATTCAAACCGCTAATTCCGCTAATTGCCTCTAATTCAAACCGCTAATTCCTCAACTTACCTTGAACTCACCACCCACCAAAACG